TCATAAAAATGGGAGTGAGAGACATCTATAACTGAAATCGGCAGTTATTTAGTTGCCAACCCAATAATTATTATATAAGCGTATACACATTGTAAAACAATCATTTTTAGAATCTGCCACTGGTAGAAGGTTCAATCGGCTATAAGGCGTATATCTCGCCTTTATCGTTAAGTTTCTCATGTTATTTGTTTAATGTCACGAATCCCGACGAAATAATGCGCGGAGAAAAGCCGAATCTGGTCGAACATGGACCTTACGTATACAAGTAAGAGTGACAAATTTTCTAAAAATTGCCACAGTAATTTCTCCCTAATTACATTCTCCCAAATTTACATTTTTCTTCGTGAAAAGCGAGAACTTCCAAAGATATGTGCAAGAAATAGACGAGGAAATGGACGAAATAACATACGTTACAAGAACAATGTACACTTTCAACAAGGAAAAAAGCGTGAAAGAATCTAGTCGCGATAAAGTCACGATACTAAATCCGTTATACGTGGGCTTCGTGAACGCGGTAAGGAAAACGGGCAACGTCATAATCTACGGTCTCCGAAAGTATGCAAAATTTACGTTAGCTGGATCTGTTTCGAAATTAAAAGTCTCCCTAATCCCTTTGTAAAGTCCCCCTAATTGACGCTCGGATTGTTCATTTTTGTGCGTCAATTAAGAAGGATTTTACTGTAGTACAACAACAAGCAACAATTATTTGCAATTATTTCGTAGAAAAATCAGTGACAAAATCGTGTTTATTATCCAATTCGCAGCTACGAATCTTGCGTATTATCGATACAAAAATATTAAATATAATTTAATAAAGTCATAAAAATAATAATAAATATAATTTAATGAAGTCATCTTTAACGTCCTACAACAGCTATCGGGCCTACCTCCAAATTTTATGCAACAATACGGAAATCACTTGCCCAAATTATTTCCAAATCGCAGTAGTATATTTATGAAGGCTCGCGGCACCGACATACTCTTCAACGGAGTAAAGGTAACATGCAACAGAGTCAAGTATCCTGACTTGAAGCTCATATGCATGCAGTTGGCGAGTAGTAAACGGCCACCGGTCTTACGAGCGACCGACGAAGACGATGTCTATCTGTTCAGTTTGTTCCAAAAGGTGAGTTATGTACCACGAGGAAAAGATAAAACGGTGGACCCAGGTCCTATGAACGTAGCGATATGTACCAGGTTTCTGTAACAACCAGACAAACGATACCATCCGTGGGCCATACACCGTTAACAGAGGTTTCAAAAATCTAAGTCTACTCGGCGACACAACTTCTTTCATGGGAGAAAGAGAGCAAGAACTATGGCCAGAACCGTGTAATAAAGTCCAAGGGAGAGACAGCATCACTTGGGCGCCATTGCTGAAACGATTATCTTACGTTACAATGTTTTCGCCGGATCTATGCAGGTCGGAATATATAAACTATTATATAAATAATATATTATTATATATTATATTATATTATATTATACTATATTATATTATATTATA